GTGGGGGGCACTGAGTGTGTGTGTGTGTATGTGAGTCTCTGTAAGTGTGTATATATGTGCAGGTGAGTGAGTGTGTGTGGATATGGGTGCATTTGTGTGACTTCCTGCTCACAAAAAGGTAATCTCCCCTGGCTTAACCCCCCAAATGCTCTACCCACACAAAAACATAGTTGAGACCATGAATTTTTTCAATTCATTGGTTAACCCCTGTCCTGAAATGCCACTGGCGTGCTCTCCTGCTCTCTGTGAAAATTTTTTAACTCATTTTATTCGTAAAGTTTTACATCTTAAGTCCTCACTCCCCTCAGTGTCGAGTTTTATTCCCACCCCTGGTTGTTCATCATCATTTCAACAGTCTGAGCTGGTGTCACTCCATACTCTCAAGCGACTTATTGACCAATCAAAGAACACCTCTCCTGCTTATGATACCCTTCCATCTCGTTTAGTTAAAGACTGCTTCAGTGTAATTGGACCCAGAATCCTATCTCTAATGAATATATCTCTACTTGCAGGCTCTGTTCTTTAAGCCTTCAAACGCGCTGTTGCCCAGCCCGTTCTTAAAAAAAGGAACCTTGATCATAACGATCTTGGGAACTATAGGCTGATCTCTAACCTTCCATTCCTGTCCAGAATACTGGAGAGGATCGTTCTTTCACAACTCCAGCCATATTTGGATGCGAATGCCATTTATGATAAATTTCAGTCCACTTACAAACCCTGTTATAGTACTGAAACGGCCTTGCTCAGAGTCCTCAATGATCTTCTTCTGATTGCTGACTCCGGACGCTCTTCAATCGTGGTCCTACTAGATCTATCCTCGGCCTTTGATATGGTAGATCATAACATCCTATTAGCGAGGCTTGAACACACAGTTGGCATTGGAGGTGCCGCCCTAGATTGGTTTAGGTCATACCTCTCTAATCGGTCCTTCTCGATCAATTTTGGCCCTTATTTCTCCTCTGCTGCACCTGTCTCCTGCAGCGTGCCTCAAGGATCTGTCCTTGGCCCCCTGCTCTTCTCACTGTATATGCTCCCCTTAGGCGCAATCTTTGAGAAGTATAACATCGCACATCATTGTTATGTCGACGACATACAGATGTAGGTAACTCTCTTATTCTAAACGACAGGAAAACGGAAATTATCGTCTTTGACAGTAGAGTCCCCCGTAGCCAACTCCGTGAATTCCCTAAGTTCCTTTAACAGTTTCCTCACTGATACTGTTAGTGACCTGGGTGTATTTTTGGATAGCTCTTTTAAGTTCGATAAACAAGTGTCCTCTGTTGTTAAATCTTGTTTCCATCAATTGCATCTTATTAGCAAGGCCAGACATTATGTTCCACATAGGGACCTTGGAAAGCTTATCCACGCCTTTGTGACATCTAGGTTGGATTATTGCAACTCACTGTACTTCGGTCTTAACTCTACTCTCCTCCATAGACTCCAAATTGTTCAGAACGCAGCTGCTTGTCTCCTTACTGGTAGTGGGCGGCGTGTCTCTATCACCCCTGTCCTTGCTGATCTGCATTGGCTTCCCGTTAAGTACCGCATTCAATTCAAAATCCTGCTGCTTACCTTTCGAATTATTAACAATATAGCGCCAAGCTACCTCATTGAGCTACTTAGATCATACACCCCTACTACAGCATTAAGATCATCTTCCCAGTCACTCTTGGTACTGCCGAGATCTTCGCTGAAGAATAGAGGTGACCACGCGTTTGCCTTGGCTGCACCCGATTTATGAAATAACCTCCCCATCGCTATACGCGAGTCTGATTCCATCCATTCCTTCAGATTGCGGTTAAAAACCCACTTATTTAGCCTCGCCTTTTCTACCAGTTAACGATTGCTTGATAGTTAGCTTAACGCTTATTCTTATCTTTGGCTTTTAATTCATTTTAAAAAAAAATTGACTGTTTTATCCTCTACACTTAGCCTTCTTTTATGCTTTTATATGCAATTCTTTTGCCTTTGTGTGTTTTAATGCCATTCAACCTGCTAGCACGTTTTGTACCTTGCCATAGCCCTTATCTCTCCTTGTTACTTCATCTTACCCTCTTGCATGTTAAGCACTTTGGTACACCACTGTTTTTTAAATGTGCTATATAAATAAAGTTTGTTGTTGTTGTTGATTGACTGGGTTAATTTTTTAGAATGAAACAGGATGACTAACTCGTGTTAGTAATATGTAGTCATGATGATGGCCATCACAATGATAGTCATTTGACAAAACAAAAATTACAGATAGAATTAGGTCAAGACTGCAACAGGCCCAAAAAACACAATGCTTGTGGGGGACCAGAGCCCTAATACTGCTAAAGTAACATGAATTGATTTGATTTGCTAGTGAAAACATTGTCAAATGTTTAATGGACCAATTATGATTTAAGATGCATTTGCAGGAATTAAGCACCGGTTCCATGAAGAGAAGCAACTACACAAGAGACTGGAAGCTCTCAGGTATGCAAAACCCTCCTGAAAAAGGAGAAATTGTTAAAAAACATTTCCTCTTTCCTTAACTTAGCCTTTTTGTTGATTCATGCAGAAAATGAGTTCCATATCAAGAATCAGACATCCTGTGATATCTGGAGAAACACACAAACAGTATATGACAAGCAAACAGTTTAGATGTGGCTTAAAGATTTGTGCAACATGTGATGTCAGAAAAAGTTATGACAGGACCACCAAGTTCATACTGAAAATTGTTCAGATGATGTTCCTGGAAAGAACGGTTGAGGATAATAGATTTCTTACTGCACATTGGAGTACAGAAGACTGGAGTTTGGGATTGCTTGCAACATTATAATATGGCAGTTGCCATATGTGCAGTGTGCTGGTATAGTTTTACACTGGCCCCTATTGTTGCTTATTGGCTTATTGCCAGCTATGCAAACCAAGCTCTGGCAACAGTTGTATAGGGATCGAATGGCCTGTAGCAATGGGCCAGACACCCCAGCTGCACCTCCCACAGAAAACCCCAAGGGACACGGTTGAATGCCTTGTTGAAGTCGACAAAACACAAACAAGCTGGTTGGGCAGACTTCCATGCGCCCTCAAGTACCTGCAGTATCAAGAAAACTGCAGTGTTCCTCCTGTGTCTGAGGTTTGACTAACAGACAGACTCTCCTTTCTCACACATTGGCATAGACCAGGGGTGCCCAATCCCGGTCCTCGAGAGCTACTATCCTGCAGCTTTTAGATGCATCCCTACTCCAACACAGCTGAATCAAATGGTTTGATCTCTTCAGCATGCCATCATGTTTGGCAAAGGCCTGATAACAAGCCATTCATTTGATTCAGGTGTGTGGGAACAAGGATGCATCTAAAAGCTGCAGGACGGTAGCTCTCGAGGACCGGGATTGGGCACCCCTGGCATAGACTTTCCCAGGGAGGCTGAGGAGTGTGATCACCTGTAGTTGAAACACATCCTCTGGTCTCCCTTCTTAAAAATGGGGACCACCGCCCTGGTCTGCCAGTCAAGGGGTTCTGCCCTTGATCTCCACGCAACATTGCAGAGGCATGTCAGGCAGGACAGCCCTACAACATCCAGAGCCTCACCTCAGCCACATCAGCGACTCTGCCACCAAGGAGTTGTTTAACTGCCTTCTGTGACCTCACCCCCAGAGGTTTGGGGGGGGGGGGGGGTCATCCCAAGACTCTTCTTCCTCCACAGAAGACGTGGCAGTGGAATTAAGGATGTCCTCGAAGTATTCCTTCCACCGCCCGACAATTTTCTCAGTCAAAGTCAGCAGCGGTCCACCTATACACAGTGCAGGTAGAGCACCGCTTTCCACTCCCGAGTCACTTGATGGGTTGCCAGAATTTTTGTGAGGCAGTCCGAAAGTCCGAAAGGCAGTCTTTTTCCTTGGCCTCTCCGAGCTCCTCCAACATCTGTGTTTTTGCTTGAGCCACTGCTCATGCCGCGTTCAGCTTGGACTGCCGTTACCTGTCAGCTGCCTCCGAAGTCCCACAGGCCAAACAAGCCTGATAGGACTCCTTCTTCACGTTTGGTGTCCAACATTTGGTTGGGGGGTTACCACCACGACAGAAACCAAACACCTTCCGGCCGCAACTCAGTGCAGCAGCTTCGGCAATGGAGATGCTGAACATGGTCCATTCGGAGTATGATAACTTGGGGATACAGTTCTTATCTTCCTACTTTCCTCCACACAAGTGGAAAAGCCTGAAGCTGTATCATGTCTGAAAACACAAAATTCAGATATTAGAACAGTCCATTTTACTACTCAAACATTTCTCATGATGATCAAACTTGTCATTTTATTTATATTTCATTAAGAATGAAAATGCTTTTTTATTAGGGTTAGGGAAAACCAATTTTTTGGGACTTTGATCATTTTTAATGTTAAGACATATATTAAGACACTTTACCCCTTCACTTCAATCTCTCTTTATCCCAGTCACACAAATGTAGACAGATAGTTGATAATAGTTTCTAATGTGCTGATTGGAATATCATGAAAGAGGCAGAAATTTCTCTCTGTGCATGTGGACAAATCACAAGATGAACAGGTTTCAGGTAGTATTAAAACACATTAAAACGCTGCACTCACTCAAAGGTCAGAGGTCATCTACAGTAACCACACTGACGCTAAGAGAAGAAAACAGCTGGCAGCAAAGGCAGGGAGGTGTTCTTTTTAGCTAAACAGAAGAGGAATATAAAGATAATGACGACAATGAAAATGTAGGACTGTTCCTTTATCAGCGATGCAGTGTCCATGTGTGCATGCTGAAAGAGACTGTGCTGGTCTGATCTGGTCTCCTTTCTTTCCTTTCTCCTTTCAGGATGGAGCCTGCTGGGGGCCAATGGTTGAGACCAGGTCTGAGGAAGTGTAAGTGTGTTTTTAATGTGATTCATGAAAACAAAGCAGCACACATTCAACCATCTTCATCATGTCAGGAGTCATCATCAAAGTGTCAATCAATGAACAGATGATGGATCAATAACTGCAGCTGGATTGTGTTTGTTCTCTCCATCAGATTCCTGTCAACTCACAATCGACACAAACACAGTGAACACAAACCTCAAACTGTCTGACAACAACAGGAAGGTGACATATGACAAGGAGGTTCAGTCATATCCTGATCATCCAGACAGATTTGATTTTTATCCTCAGCTGCTGTGTAGAAATGGTCTGACTGGCCTCTGCTACTGGGAGGTCGAGTGGAGAGGACACATTTTTATATCAGTGAGTTACAGAAGAATCAGAAGGAAAGGAGGCAGTAAAGACTGTAGGTTTGGATGCAATGATCAGTCCTGGAGTCTGAGCTGCTCTGATGATGGTCCTCGTTCTGTCTGGTATAATGGAAAAAGAACATCCATCTCCTCCTCCTCCTCCTCCTCCTCTGTCTCTAACAGAGCAGCAGTGTATGTGGACTGTCCTGCTGGCACTCTGTCCTTCTACAGAGTCTCCTCTGACACTCTGATCCACCTCCACACCTTCAACACCACATTCACTCAAACTCTTTATCCTGGGTTTACACTCTGGCCTGATAGTCCTGGTTCCTCAGTGTCCCTGTGCTGAGTGGAGTGTAAAGAGTGTCTCCTGTTAGAGAAAGATTCTGACTGTTGAACAGATAGTTCAGTCTGTACATGTCTGTCTCTTTCACCCAGAAACACGTTTTCAGATTCATATATTCAGTCAGTTGGTGTTTTAAGCTGTTCTAAATGATTCCTTGTAAACTTCTTCCTCTTCAGTCCTTTAAAGATGGAAGCTCCCATTATTACAGGATCCACATGTTGTTTTTCTGTCTTTTTCCACTCAAAGCTTCAAAGTGAATATCAGTATGTTTCTCTGAAGCTCAGGTCACAACCAGCTCCTCTGCATTTTCAACAAGTCTGAGCTCATTAAAACAAAGTTGATTTCTCTTTCTTAATGGGATGTTTCCACACTCTCTACATGCTCTTACTGTTTCACTCATTGTTGGGAGCTCATGATTTGAAAATGTTTCGGCTATATAAGCCGAAATGATTGGCTCAATAGATTTTAAGTGCAATTATAGCCAGAATATGATTGTATTGAGAGATCATAATACATGTGGCTGATCTAATAAACAGCAAAGGCTTCAGTCCTCATTTGAAACTATATAAGGCCCACTTAAAATTCTTTAATTTTCTCAGAAATCCACAGCGCGTCTTATAATCCGGTGTTCCTTGAGCATGAATTCTGGTTGTGCTTACTGACCCCAACCGATTTTATGTGGTACACAGCGCTAAAAAATCTTTCAAAAAAAGTGGGACTTTGGTAAGCTACGAAGATGCACACCTCGATGAATCATTATGGCTATCGTAGTGAGGAGCCTCGAGGATCCATCCGGGCCCAAACTCTGCTTCCAGTTCTCAAGTTGAAAAAACACTGTTGCATCACTAAGAGTTCAAAACTGTTTAAATTCTTTCATGTTTAATAAAACGATCAGCATCTCTGCTTTACCAAGTGCAAAAACTAAGTTGAACTATCAGGCTGCCCATGGACCTGATACTGCTTGAGGTTTTTTTCCTTTTCATTGTCACCAAAGTGCTTGCTCATAGGGGGTAAAATGATTGTTGGGTTTTTCTTTACATGTATTGTTGTAAGTCCTACTTTACAATTTGAAGTGACTGTTGTTGTGATTTGGCGCTGCATAGATAAAATAAAATGAAATTAAATAAAATT